TCTCTCTCTCTCTCTCTCTCTCTCTCTCTCTCTCTCTCTCTCTCTCTATCTCTATCTCTATCTCTATCTCCCCTAGATTCCTCCTGCTTCTTATTCTCTCTGCCTTCCAAATTCGCCTATCCTTCTACTGCCTAGCTATTGGCCATTCAGCTTTTCATTAGGCCCATCAGGTGCCTTAGGCAGGGAAGGTTACAAAAGTAACACATCTTTATACAATTAAGCAAATGCAGCAGGAACAAAAGTAGCACATCTTTACACAGTTAAAGTAATGCTACTCCATAGCATGGGCTGGGAACCAACACCAGGGCTTCCGGGAAAGCAGTAAGTGTTCTTAACCACTGAGCCATCCCTCCAACCTCTTAATTTGTGAGGTTTTGCCATTTTACATTAGCAGTTTTACAAAGGCATCGATTCTCAACCCGTGTTTTACCGAGATCAATAAGCACTGAAGCCCTAGACACCCACTGTGTGCAGCAAAGTAGGGGTGAGGGGTGGGCGGATTTGGAGCGCATTGCAAGTGCAGCCACTGCATGATGGTGTCACGGTTCCAACAAGCCAGAAGCGGGGCCACCCCTGACAATAATCCCGCGTGACCTGTGAGGTGGGCAGATGCCTGCTCAGGGAACTTCTCTGGTTGAGGAGCAGGATTCTTGTTCACAGTGTACGTCAAGAAATCAGACTGCAGTAATGGGGATTTAACCCCTGACTTCCACAAGAGGGCAGCATTGTGGCACAAAGTGCCACAAATCTCAGGGCCTTTAAAATACCATCCCTTTATTTGCCAGAGGCTTAACAACAACCCCAAAACAAGATGTTGAATTTTATTATATTCTTTAAATTTAGTATAAATTCCATGTACAAATTACCCACCCGCTTTTAAAAAGAATTAACTTACGTGTTTCTAAACACTAGATACGAAAACAAAAGGGAGAGAAAAGGCTGTAGAGATGGCTCAGTGGTTAAAAGTATTAGATACTCTTTCAGAGGATCAAAGTTCAATTCCCAGCACCCACATGGCAGCTCATTCATAACTGTCTATAACTCCAGTTCTAGGGGATCCAACACAGACATACATGCAAGCAAAACATCAGTGCACATAAAGTAAAAATAAATAAATCATTAGAAAACAAAAATAAAAGAGAAAGATTAACCCATGCAAATCTGAACACAGGCAGGTAATTAGAGAGCAGTGCTTGGGGTGCAGTTGCCCTGTGAGATGGTAAAATTGCCTGTGATGTAATCACCATAGCAACAGTTCTGACATAGGAAGAAATCACAAGAGATTGTGCATGACTACTTAAAAACCAAGCCATTAAAACCAACAGAAGGCGTGTGTAAATACTTGATACCGTGACGAGAAAAACGTGGCTACAAAAGCAGTAGAAGAGGGGCCAACAAGATGGGTCAGCAAATCCGGGTACTCACTGAAGTCCTGAGGTCAATCCCTAGCACCCACGTGGGGTAATTTATAACTGAGCTAGAGAAAACTCTCAATGTGTTCACCTTACCTATAGTTTATTTTAAAAGATGGGACAAGCCCTGAAGAATGTGCAGCTGTGGATTTAGCTGTGCGCTTCAGTTACAGGAGGCAGACTTTTTCCTGGGAAGTTTGTCTTCTGGCGTCAGTGTTCTCGGCACTGCCCAGCTGTGTATTTCCTACAGAGATCCTACTTGCTTGGCTGTCCTTAATACAGAGTTCATGGTTAACATGTGTAAGGCCACGGGTTCAATACCCAGAACCTTGACCAAGAACATCATTGTTAATCATGAGCATTATGCCCTACATTAAGAATGCACACAATTTAAACTTGGAAACATTCTGATTAGTTAAACGTTGCTGTGATGTGATGTTTTGCATGATATTTTCTTGCTTTTCCAGGCATTGAAGCACCCATATTTTCAAGTCGGTCAGGTATTGGGCCCTTCCACACACCATCAGGATGCAAAACAGACTTTAAACAAGCAGCTGCAGCCACTGGAACCAAAGCCATCTTTCTCTGAACGAGATCCTAAGCCTTTGCCAAACATACTTGATCAGCCTGCCGGGCAGCCCCAACCAAAGCAGGGCCACCAACCACTGCAGCCCATTCAGCTACCACAAAATACAGAGATCCAGCCACCTCCAAAGCAGCAGGGTCACCAGAAACCACCACAAACGATGTTTCCAAGCATCATCAAAACCATGCCAATGGTGAGTAGCCAGGAAGGATGCCTTAGATATCCAAAAACCACACATTAAATTATTGGTGCAATTCTATCTACGAAGAATGTATGGAGCTTGTCCCGAGTCCAAGTCCCTGATTTCCTTGGTTGAGATTCAGTAAGAGATAAGGTAATGTTTTAAGATGATGAGGAGAAATGTCCAGAATAAAGGAATAACATTTGTATGCTGCAAGCTTCTTTTAAGAATTCATAGTAGGAGTTGGACACTCCAGAGCACTGATCCTAAATATTAAACATTTCCCAAAGAATTTCATACTGTTGTTCACTCATAATGAACACAAGCAGACTAGAAGGTTTTAAAGAACATTATTTTAATTCATTATTTAATTTTTGAGATTATGCTATGATTACATTATTTTCTCCTTCACTTCTCTTCCTCCAAACCCTTGCATGTACCCTTCCTATTCTATTTTAAAATCATGGCCCCTTTTTCATTATTGGTGTGTGTGTGTGTGTGTGTGTGTGTGTGTGTGTGTGTGTGTGCATATTCCAAAATATATAAATACAACCTATGCAGTCAGTACCTGTATGTTTATGTTTTCAGGGCTGACTATGGGTATTGGACTGCTTCCCACACAGATCTTTTCAAACATTGTATCCAATTTCTGATCCATCCCCAGCTCTCACCATTTTAATATGAGCCCTCCCATCTCACACTAATCCCAAACCCATCCTAAGTACACACTAGTTTATGTTTCTAGTATTGTTGTACAGCATTTTCCCTTCTACTGGAGTACAAGCTCTGTGACATCAGAAATATGTTCAATTTGCTTATCAGAATCTAGGAAGTGCCCACTGTGGGAAAATTTTTAATATTTACTGAATAAATGAAGAGCCTCCAGGGTCCAGAAGAGTCTCTATCCAGCTCTGAATATTAGAGACTGTGGTTCTCTGTGGCTGGAATAGAAGAGAGAATGTGGTTCTCCATGGACTGTAATAGAAGGGAGAACATGGTTCTCTGTGGCCTATAATAGAAGGGAGAATGTGGTTCTCCGTGGCCTGTAATAGAAGGGAG